GCTGGGTGACACCGGAGGGACAGACCGCTGGGCACTCAGGTTTGGGACCCCCTCCCCACTACAGCCCTGCACGCAGGACCCCCTCCCTGTGCTACCCCATGCTGGAGACCCACTGCCCACCCCCAGACAGCGCAGACCCTTCAGTGACCCAGCGCTGCCCGAGGTGCCCCCAGTGCAGAGCTGGGACCCAGCAGAGCTTCGCCACTCACATCGTCAAACATTGTCCTGGCAGGAGGAGCCCTAGGGATGATGGTTTCTGTTGCCTTCCTCAGGTTCTCCGGGAAGGCTCGCAGCATCGTAGTGTGGACCACGGGAGGCAGCTCATGGTGCCCTGCGGCAGGAGGAGAACAGAGAAAACCCTCAGCTGGTCCCCACTCACAGCATCAGTCCCTCATCTCCACATCACGGACACGGGCTCGCCAGACAGCTCTGGCTCTCCTGGAGAAGAGGGTGCTGCTTCTGATGAGGGACACAAAAAACATCACGGCTACAGCCCGCCGGCTCCATCCCCAGAAAGGGGCACCTGGAGCAGCAGCCGCCAGCGGGAAAGGCAGAGGGCAAGGTCCCCTGCTCCTCTGTGCCTCCCCTGCCACGACACCGCCCTGGTTCCCAAACATGCCAGTGCAGCCATCGCACCTGCGCCAGCAACCACAGAGCAGGCTCATTAACCCAGGCCCTGCGTGCAGGGCTCGGTGTGCAAGGGCACACCCACCAGCACGGGTGATTGTGAGTCCGGCTTCAAAGGGTCCCTGCCCAGCCCCTGGGTGGGGGTGGCACCTCCTGGGGAGGGGGACAAGGATGGGCTGAAAGAGCCCCAAGCCAGAGTCTCCGCAGTCCCTGAGGGTGAGTCACTGCCTCCGTCCCATTTACCCGGCTGTGCAGAGCAGGTCGGACTGCCACCCCAAAACACACCGGCAGCTGGGGCCGCCCCTCCCTGGGGCACCCTTGGGGAGCGAGGACGCAGGGAAAGCCCGTGTACATTGTGGGTCCGCACCTATGAGGAGCCACTGGTTGTGGAGCGAGGTGATGCTGTCCTGTGGGTACTTGACGTCGGTGCTGGGCGTGATCTCACACTCCCCTGACTCTCTCATGGTCACGTCATCCGTGGTGGGACCATCGATCCTGGCCAGCGTGATGCCCTGCGGCTGGTGGTCCGACAGCTCATGGAGCCACCGCGCAGCCGGGACGCGTGCCCGCTGCGGCTCACCCCGAAAGGGGACAGTGGAGAGACTCACCACCAGAGCCACGCTGCCGTGGACCAGGGAAGTCAAGGCGTAGAAGCTGGCCGCATACTTGCCCACGTAGAGCGCTGGCCTGCAAGGCAAGGACAAGCATCAGCCTTCCATCCGTCATGGATCAGGGCGTCCAAGCACAGGCAACGCAAATGCCACCGGCTGCCACAGCACAGGAACCACGTACAGCAGCTGGGTCTTGGTGGTGGTGAAGTCCTTCGCGGACTGGTAGCTCCACTTGAGGACGTGGATGTCCTGCGAGTGGAAGGTCAGGTAGCGGAGGGTCTCCATGGCCAGGTTGAGGTGGGGGACGCGGCGGAGGCTGTCCTGGTGCCACACGTAGATGCCGACCACGGGCGAGCCATAGTTCTGTGCCCACAGGACCTCCCCGCTCTCCTTGTCTAGCGTTACCACCAGCCCGTCCCCGCTCGAGGCGAAGTGTGCCATTTCTAGGCAGAGCCAGAGGGAGGGGATGATGCAGCGGTGCTGGCCGTGGGGCTTTGTCCCCCTCTGCCCCCTCTCAGTCCTCCCACCCACCGTGGGCTGTTGCCTCTTGCTCTGCTCCCACGAGAGCTGTGGCCGGTGCAGCAGCCGTTTGCCCCAGCAACTGGCAGAGCCGAGACCTGCCCTGGCCATGGGAGCATCGCCCCAGGGGCCCCGCAGAGGCAGGGCCGCCCTGCGAGCAGGGTTGCTGCCCCCCAGGCCCCCCCATGCACGGCAGCCACTCACTGTAGTGACAGGACTCCTCGCAGAGCGGTGCCGAGTAGTCGGAGAAGGTGGCATTCCAGCGCAGCTCCCGCGACTTGGTGTCGTACATGGTGATGACGTACTCTGGGGACAAGGGCAGGGCACGAGGTCACTGCCCAGCACCCTGTTCCTGGGACCAGAGGGACGAATGGGGAGCAGGACTGGCTTACGGGTACGGCCGATGTAGAGCAGAGGACTTGACGGGCACACACCGTCCCAGGCCTCCGTTGAGAGAGGGGTCTGCTTCT